TACAATGCCCTGCATGTACCTCTCCATCCCACACACGTTTCGTGTTGTTTGGGTAAGCGGCATTCCATCACAAAACTCGTAGCTTATGTGAGTATTCATCAGAGGAGCTGTGATAGATCACAGCTAAACCTTGTTGATTAATTGTTCAGAGTGGTGATGAACCACACTGTACCAGGATGCAAATATAAATGGAGAAAATACAGTACGGTTAATTTTTTTTGTTGCCATTACAAATACCAGAAATCCTAAAGTTGTGGCTACTTGTTTTGAAGCTACATACAAATAGCAAAGTCGAACAAGCTCACCGACCAAGACTAACTTACTCAACACCACTAAGGTAAGAAACATTTGTGAGTGAAACAAATTAGTCCTCGTTAGCCACCGTACATATATTACTGTTAGCCGTTAGCTGTCTAACGACTATCTGCCTCGCTATCCTACCTCATAAACTGATGAGCAGAGTAGTTTGTTGTTGATGCCACCGATTTCCATTCGCTCTGGGTTGTTCTCCTTTGGCTCTCTGTTTTTCAAGCCACTGCAACTCATTTGTGTGTTCAGTGTCAAACCGATTTGGCTCTACGACATTTTGGAAACACACCTCCTCAAAGTCCTCTCCATCTTCCAAAATAGGTAGGAAAACTGTAAAAATAAACTGTAAACAAAAGCTGCTGCCGGCATTAGCTGTGTTTAAAAGCTGTAGCTACAGGCTAGTAACAACAAAAGCACGTTAGCTTGCACGCATCGATCGCATTGATTGCGGTTTTGAAAGGAAACGGTAATCCTGGAGTAATAGTTTATACTACAAATACATTTTTTGCCAAAACTTTATAACAAAACTATCACAAAACAATGTCTCGGGTATCAAGTAATGCATTCATAACCATTTTGTGTAATAACTTAACAGGATGTAGCTGTTAGAGCCATTAAACACATCGGACGTCTGGTTCATAGTACAACAATGGTGAACAATTCTGACTCGATACATTTTTCTAGAAGGGCGCATTTCACACCAAACCACTCTGAATGATTTGGTTTACATCTAAACCATTAAATAATTTTGTAATTTTGCAAAATTACCGGAGTTCCCCTTTAATGAATCAAGGCTTCCTATAAACATAAATAGCTTTGGTCAAAAATATTGCTGGCAAATCTTTCACTACATCACATGGTTTCAAGGATGCATTTAAGTATATCATTTTGGGTGTTTTTCCACTGCACATTCAAAAACACAAACTTACCCAAATGAGAACCAAAGTAACTTAGACTTCTATTTCTAGTTCGTTTTCCACCTGCTTGTGGGACAGCTGGAACCATCACAAAAACATGATTAACGACTTAATTGTCTTTTTGGTCATTTTATTCCACTCTAAAGCATCTAATTTGGCTAATTAGCTGCCTTGCTTGCTAGTTAGCTCAACCCCTTAAATTCCAAAGCTTATTACATACTAAGGCTTACTATTCAGTAATTACAGGGACTTCAGTGGAAACAGGTTGAGCTAGTCTTAGGTTCTACACTCTTAAACAAGATGCTTCTTTAAGGGTTCTTTAGTAAAGAAAATGGTTTTATATAGAACCATGAACACTCAAAGAACCCTTTGCATGATTAAAGGGTCATCAATGTGAAGAACCCTTTCATGATGCAAAGAACCCTTTAATCATGCAAAGGGTTTTTTGAGTGTTCATGGTGTTTGAGTGTTAAGAGAGTATAACCTAAGAATAGCTTTCCACTGAAGTCCCTGTAGTTACTGAATAGTAAGCAAACCTAATAATATGAGCAAAAACTCTCATTCTGTGGAGGCTATCATAAATGCTAATAATGTTAGCTTCCTAACTAACACAACCTCACAAAGTAATGTTGGCACCTATCTTGAACAGGTGCCAAAAACCATAAACTGGAACTTTCAGTACTGAACCATAGCCAGTGGAAAAAGCACAGTTCTTGTGCCAAAGGTTCTGGTACTTTGTGCAGTTGAAAAATGCCCACTTATCATTTAGGGATGTCCAGGATCTGATAGGCATATTTGGAATATTTTGGAATCCACATGATTATTCTAGACCCAATCCAATTCCAATCCTTTGCACTCTATTTATGTCAACAATGTACAAATGATGCAAATAGATACTCTCCATAACTTGTGGCAGTGAGACATGTTTAAAGCTAACAAAAGTTAACAAAATGTTTGCTGTATGAAAATACTTTAAAGTGAAAAATGAAAATATTGTAAAGACAACCCACATAAAATGTAATTAGGTGGCTGTATAGCTTTGAGACTTTTTTGGCCGTTTGCTGCAAGCAGTGTGGCACTAAAAACACAGAAAATACACTTATAAGTCATGTAAAAACAAAAGCATTGCTGAAACGTCTACCAGCAGTGCCACACTACTTCTAGTAAACGCTCAGCATTAGCAGTAACAGCGTGCTCAAAACCAAGAGGCTACTTTGTACATGTTAGAGCAGCTTCAAATATGGAAGCTTCAGGTTCATGACACTAAAAAGGACTCCAGAAATTATTCAGTATGTGAGAAATAGAAAGCAAAATCATACTGAGTAACAGCTGGGGAAATAAAACATAACTCTCAATGCAGTATCTTTTTTAGTACCCCAGTCTATACCCTATACCATAGGTTCCCAACCCTGGTCTTGTATATTTTAATTTTAATTTCCTGCTAAAACACACTCACTTCAAAACACTAAGGGGTGCACAGTTTGATTAAGTGTGCTGGGAGCAGGGAAAACCCTAAAATGTGCAGAACGGCGAGTTCCCCAAGACCAGGGTTTGGGAACCACTATGCTGTATCTTCATATGCACAATTCCATCACTATTTCAGTGTATTTGCATCAGCACACCCAGTACATGCACCACTAGCCATACAGAACTGCTACATTTCTAAAAGAATAGGCCTGCACAACGTATCCTTTGTTCATTGTAATCGCAACATCAGCCTCAATACTGACCTCATCTGAATATCCTGTCCAATTACATATGTTGCTGTGGGTGTTAATGAATTAAGACAGATAATTCTAACTTAAACAGAAATTCTAACAATTTTTCAAAATTTCTTCATAGTTCAATCACTGCGACGTAACTAGAATCATTCAGTGGTTTGATGTGAAATGATTCAGCGTACTAATCCAAACTATACTAAATATGGATTTCATTACAGTGGTGGTTATAGAAACCAGGGGTCATGATGTCTACAACACTAATATTTTTTATTTTATTTTGTTTACTATCCATAATGAACAGCATACCTACATGTGTCTGTCATCTGTCTGTCACAAGTTTTTATATGTAATTATGATGGTCAAATAGTGGTAAATCTGATAAAAACGCATTTCATATCAAACCATGCTCTAGGGCTTTGTTAACATTATAACCACAGAATTATCAGTGGAATTCCCCTTTGAGGACTGGGAATTGAACATACCTCAAAAATAAAAAAAGGCTAGGACTGCAAGCATAGTCACATCTTTACTGGCACACTACAAACATCACTGTATGGCAGCTGACTGGTCTTTTTTGAGTACTCTTGTTATTTTGCAATGGCTGAACAAACAGGGTCTAAGCACTGTAATTATATAAATGTACTGTATCGTTATTATACAAAAAGACATGTATCTCCATTTCTGTTGATTTTTTTTTCAACACCATTTCAACAAGGCAGTTGTCTTTTACATTTACATATTTACATAGAAAATTTCATGATGAACAGACCAAAAGAAATGATCCAAAATCACCTGGAATAAAACCTCTTTACATTAACTTACATTAACAGTCAAGAACATTTCTTCTCCAGTAAAATTACTATTTTGGAGACACATGTTTTTCTTTGGACAGCAAAGAAATGTCCTATACATCTCCCTATCAAGACAAAACTCAGGGATTAACCCCCCAACTGCTGAGGGGCCTTAAACTGCTGAGCACATGCTGATGTCCACATTCACTGCCCTTCACCGCTCCTAAAGAGGATTACAAACTTAGTGACAGAGACTATAATCTTAGATAACACAAAAGAAAACTTACTTATAGCTGTGCATTCTTAAATATGAGAATAATCAAACTGTTATTACATTAAAGAAACCATTTTCTTAGGGTTTCTTCTCCATCAAAGAAACCCCATAATTCTTATTCCAAAGAAGTGCAAAAGGATTAATAGGCGTTTTATAGTATTCTGGCCCTAGAAGAGCAATCTTTTGTACAGTTGGCTCTTTCGCTCAATTTCACTGAAATGCCATATCATTCTCAAATCATTCCAAGCTGCATTCAGTTGTGAAGGGCCTGTTTGTTTTTCTGTGCTTGCCAAGCAGACAGATTGTGTCAGGCGCAGGCCAGCACTTGATCAGCTATGGAATTTAGTGGCCAGTGCCACATCACACCACTGACCTAGTTGGCCTGTGGGTTCTAATGTGCTAAGAGGAGAATTTCACTCATAAACTCATAACCCTACACAGGACAGCCAGTGGATTATCCCTGTGCATTACATTAGCAGAGGGAGTCCAGCCTATCAACAGCTCTATAGACCAGGCTGGCTAACGCTAAGAAAAATCCACACATTTATCCCCATTACAGAGCAACAAAAACTGTAGCAAAAGAAGCCAGAATAATTTGAAATTACCATATTCTAAATACACACACACACACACACACACACACACACACACACACACATATATATATATATATATATATATATATATATATATATATATATTATAATATAATAAAATATTATACAGATAAAAGGTAAAAACAACATTGCAATCGGTTATGCAGATCATTTTACGTGAATTCTGAATAGTATTATCAGAAAATACTGCAATGTCTTCATATAATCACACAGATGCTGAACTACAAGGAAAAAGATTTTAAAAATTGCAGCCCTCTAGTGGTCACTCAGCACTGCAGACGTGGTTAAACCATTTCAGGTCAGGGAGGCACTAAAATAGAGGTTAAAAAGTAGCACACAGCCAAGGTGCTGAACAAACACTGGGTGTCTACCTGATGCTAGAAATGAGCTGTTGCTGCTCCTCAGTGGTCAGGATGTCAGGAAGAACAGAGGCCAGCCAATCCACCTTTCTCTCAGCAGCAAACTGCTTCAGCACGGAAAAGAGCTTCTCTTTCACCACAGGTTCGTTCCCCAACACCTCCTCAATCTGAAGCAGAATGTCATGAAACACACATATCAATCTCACATATGTTCACAAAATGTTTGAAACTAATTACATGATCTGTACATTAAAATGTATGTATGAAACTATGTATTTTGCATTATGACCAAAGCAAGTATTTTGCAGTGCAAACCCCTTGAGTGATTCTTCCATCAAGGGGCCTAGTCTGATGAGTTCCACTATCCCCCAGCTGTGACATCCCTGAGTGTGATTACCTTTCTGCCAACTGCCTAAGCAACAAAACTATGGTCCAATATTTTCAATACTTTCACTCAATACCAGTGAGGAGTGGGACACTCAAACAGAATGCATTTGCCCTCGCCAGGTTAGCCTCAGGAAGCTAATTGGCTAGCCATGCAAACTTAAAACTCAACATAAACAAAATAATAACTGCTTTGTCTGGCAATAAACTTTGATGCAAAACTGTGATGTAGCGCCTTTTTTTTTTGTGCTGTTAGCCGTTTTGCCTTTAGCATGCTAGATAACTAGCCAGTAAAATGATAAAGTTGTAGTAGCAGTCATGTAAATGAAATGTTCTTGTTTTGATATATTACACATTTTAAAGTAGTTTACTTCTATGACTTGCATATAAGCCAGGAAGGTGACAGGAAATCTAATGAATAAATTATGACCTACAAATGCATTATTTTTTTTTAAATAACAAAATCCTGAAAACTGTTTTACAGCTTTTTTGCTGGAAATAAAAACTAGTGTATGGTGGCCATGTGTAAAAAATGAGCTACCAGAAGGAGGAAATCAAATAAATGCCATCCCCTTTGGGAGAGATAACCATAGGAGATAACGGATCTGATGTTCTTGGAATAAAAACGTGCCATACGTGACACGTCATGTTTGTCATCAGAGATTCCAACTAACAAGGGTGATGTTCTGACATCACGAATGCATGTTGTAGCTTGTGCAGTAGATGGAGAGCAATTGCAGCACCTGCCTTTAAAAACTGCAGCCGCCTTGCTCCTGCAGATTTTAATGTCATGTGACATTTAATGTCAGGTGATATTCTGCAGTGCTGGCCAAAGTCAGACATAATTTCTAATCATGATACATTGTTTTAAGTTGAGCATGTCACAGCAATGGATCTTGTGGCGTTTGCCAGACGAAATTGAAGCACTCGAAATAAATGCTAGAAATAAAAACTATAGTGCCTGTTGGCCATTTGTAAAAAATAAGATGCCAGATTGAGGAAATCCCATTTTGGAGAGATAAACACAGGAGACGCACGCGTCACGTTTGTCGTCAGAGATTCTAGCCAACCATGATGATGTTCTGATGTCACAAAGCGTTTTAGCTCTTGCAGCAGATGATGAGCAACTGCAGCGTCTGACCTCAGACTGCAGCCGCCTTGCTCCCGAAAGATTTTAATGTCATGTGACTCGTATTTTGGAGTTTGAAAAGGGAAATGCGCCAGGTCACAATGATTTCTGGGTAGGTTCTGCTGCGCAAGTCAACACTTCTGTGCACTCAATCCCTCGCCCCCCTGAGGGCTCATTTAACGTACTTCACTTGAGCTAACAAAGTGATGGGATGGCCCTTAAGATGGCATCGGAGATCCCCACAAGGGGGAATGATGAGGCCAAGTAGACGAGAGTTTGTTAAAATCGGTACAGAAAGGGGCTGCATTTCTATGACATCTTTGCTTTTCTGTGACCTCACCCTCTTGTTGAATTCTAGGGCTTTGTGTTTGCGGTCCAATCGCGTGCCTTCGTTGCCTTTCTGGCACTCGTCTATGCTGCCACTGCTGCGTTTCTGCCGACTGCCCATACACAGCACTCCCAGACGTAGCGTGCGGCCCTGCGATGCTTTTATCAGGGCAGCAGCCATCTCATGCTGCTTCACGGGGATTCCATTGACCTCCATAACATAATCCCCTGCCCTCAGACCACTGCGGCCAGCTGGAGAGCAGGGAGAGCAGTCCTCCACCAGCAGGGGGCAGTCTCCCACTATAGTGAAGCCAAAGCGACCATCAGGGCCTGGGGTGATATCCATCTGCAGAGGCAGTGAAAGTTGAAAGATTGTTTATTTGAAGTCCTAAAATGTTATGTTACATTGACAATTGAGTTACTTAAAGTGATAGTTTGGTAATTAAAATTAATATAATTTTCCCCTCAGCCAAAATGTCTTACCCACAACATGTTTGGTGTCTAAAGCTTGCTTCTCCTCAGTTTTGCACTAGAGCAATAAGGCTAATAGCCAACAAGTGATGGAAGCTTATGATCACTAATTTGTATTGTGGGTAATGACAATCTGCAACATTGTCACTGCAAGACATACTAGCTAAAAGTATGTCTTGCAGTGTCTATCTGAGATTACTTAACAATGCAGCTTGAGGTAACTGATGATTTAGGCGTGCATTTTTCTAACCTGGTGACTATAAGTCCGTTAGTTTTCCTTCCATTACATTAGCCCTGTAGCTCCACTTAAAAACCAAAGAAACAAACTTCAGTTGGTGTTGGCTGATATTTAGTGTTTGTAAATTTTAAAACAATGTTGTGAGGTTTGTTGAAAAAAAGACAGAAAGGTAAATGAATAAGCCGAGAAAGGTAGAGGACATTATGTAACCACTACACGGTCCTCTAACCTCTGACCTGTTGGATTCTGGAGACCACCCCGATGCTGGGTGGGATGTTCTTCTGCATCTGGGCTAGCGCTATTAGAGCCTGAGGGCCAAGAGTGGACACATCTTGCCCTTCAATCTCCAACACCTGGTCTCCAGGCTGCAGGCCTGACAGGTGAGCACTGCTACCCTCCTGCACAGAAAGGATATAGCTGGGCCCATTCCCCCCGAGCTGAAAGCCAAACTCCTCTGGCCAGCCCTGGTTAGATGTTGGCATGCTGAGGACTGTAACAGAGGAGAAAGACAAATGTACCTTCCTTATCCTTCAATATATGTTTATCTGTGATGTCACAACTAGGGATGTGACGATTACTGGTTTTATCCTGCAGTATAAAACCCAGTGACAGAGATGCCACCATTCCAATACCAGGTATCAGTATCAAGCCAAAATGCTGGATCGAATAACGAAGAGAAAAAAGTAAATAAATCCTGTATCAAATCTAACCCGAAATAGCACATGCTCACATTGGATGATCTGATGTTGTTAGCTGTGTACTTATTCCTGTGGGGTAGTACAGTGTTTGAGAAGAGTATGATAGTCTACTTTTATATGCACATCTTAAGTGTAGAACTTCATTCAAAAATAGCTCATTTTAAAGCTTAGTGGATTTTTTAAAAGACATATTGCATTTGTATTTGACTGGCCAATTAAGATCATCAAGATTTCAATACAGATATCAGAAAAAAGTGGTATCATGCCATCTGTAATGATAATCATACTGCTATAAATTCTAATAATTCCAAAAGTCGCAATGGAAGTAAAAAATCTACTGCTACAGTCTTCCTGCAAACATCAGTTTATTATAAAAATATAAAAGTAATAAGATAATTTAGTACCTGAAACTGTCTCAAAGTACCTAAACTCATTCTAGCAGCTGCTACTGTAATATATTTGGAAACTATCACAAAATTGGTACTCAACACTACCAAAACCAAAAACCATGATAATTTTGTTCACTAACATCACAATTAGTAATTATACCACAATTTTCATGTTGTACCATCCCTAGTCAACTTATTAACCCCAGACTCAGTCTTTTAATGACAGCTGTTGTTGATGACAGTGTTGACATTTGCTCTTGTTATGCTATGTATTGATCATGCAAAGATTTTCCTACAAGTGCTGTGCTTTAAGAGTGAGATCCAGCCTCTCATGCAGTGAGTCTCAGCTGACTCCTCAAACCTTCTGCTGTCATTGACCTCATTGAGAATACACAACCGAGAAATCCAAAAGCACTCAGAATGCAGTCAATATGCTGCTCCCACAGCTCAGCTTCATACTCCAAAACATAATCAGAAACACATTAATACATGGCGCTTTAACATTTATGCTGGAATTACACAAATATTCATTTGGCAACACACTTATTTATAACAAAATCTATTAAAAAAAAACATGATGCTGTGCATTTAGGGCAATCCAGGGACAGCCTAACTCTGAATTTTAAAGGCTTAACAGAATTACAGAAGGTAATGCAAAAATTAGCATTAAGGCCCATTAACCTACATGCAAATCTATGACTATATATGTTAATATAAATGGTTGTACATTACCAACTATGCACGTTACATCTAAATGGAAACTTATCCTCTGAGTGCTCACGATCAAGCAATAGCACTGGAACTTACAGAAATCTTTAGGTGAATATCGAGAGCCAGTCTTCTGTTGACGTAAAGAGTATCTCCCTCTCTTGTTCTGCAGGAATTTCTTCATTTTGTACAAGTTCAACAAGTGCCAAAGGCAAAAATATCCAGTTCTCTTCTCCCACCTGAGTCACTGCTAAACACGTTCAACAGAACCTCCATTCAGTGGCTTTATCATGCCCCCATTGCCAAAGTCAAGCATGCAGAGTAGTGCCATTAAAAAAAAAGACAAGGGTGACTGTGCACAAAGTGCCAAAGTGCTGCTGTTGTTCGCTGGGTTGACTCTGCATCTCTGGCTAAGTCTGGACAGTCTTGCCTGCAGAGCTAACATGGTGAAACTGGGACAGCGTAGCACAGATCCTTAATAATTCTCTCTCCAAAAAAGGGTAAAGTGAGGCCCCATTTTTCTATAAATACCTTCCTCCCATACTCTGCCAGCTAGCTCCCTCTCCAAGGGATGGAAAGTGGCCCAGTATCAGCATGGGGATCCAGCAGGACGATGGTGGCTAATTAGAACGTCTGCGTGAGGATCACAGTCACACCGCTTTGAACAGAAGCGCTTCAATTAAAGCCCATGCTCTGGATTAGGCAGATTAAAATGGTGCATCCCTAAGATCCCCCTGACCGCATGGCAGGAGCACATTCTGTCATGTATCTTGGAGAGAGACTTGGGACGGCAGACTGATTTACTCTGAGAGAACTAAACTGCAAATATGGTTTCAGTGACCAGATAGTTTTAGGCTAATATTTAACAAAGTGAGCAGCACTGGCTAGTCCAAACCAATCAGTTGTAAGCTGCAAAACACAATAGCATGCTAGTGAACAGTCTCATTAGCACAGACCTGCAGATGGCCAGGGACCAAGGCAAGTTATACAGGGCTAACTACTTAAATTATTTAGTGGCAACGCTTCTATCTCCAAACAGACACTCTTCCTCAATCAATGTCTCACCTTACCAGTCCAAAAGCCTCTTGGACCATCAAGCAGAGAAATGGTTTGGTGTTTCAAAGAAAGTGTATCAATTCTATGGCTGTGGATGCATTTAGAGCACTTTGGTCTGTAATAACATTATACAAGTGACCTTAAATTCAGCATGATTAAAAGTAAGATAAATAATACTGCATTTATGATGTCTCTACATGATTAAGGCAAGATGAAAAATTGTGTTATTCTATCTATTACTTTCTAAATTATCAGCTGGGGTTTCTTGAAGGTGTCCCCACAGCCTCAAAAAACAACATACCTGTAAAGTACCTATTCAACATAACACAAAACTGTTAACTGAAATACTTCTAGGTAGATACCTGGTGACCCCCCCCCCTTTCCAAAACAAAACTGAGTCGTGGACAGACCCAGAAACTGAAACACATCCAAGTTGAACAACGGTTCACTTTCTTGTGTTACACATTTAGCCATAATGATGCTCAAAGAAACACATATGATATGTTTACCAATGCCAGCTAGAACACTGTCCATTAGTTCCATGATAAAATGTTGTAAGTGTACAGATGCAGGTAGAGATACACACATACCTTTTTAAAAAATCTATCCGTTTTTTGATAGTGATGTGCTTGAAGGTTTTTTCCGGGGTGGCTTTTCCTTAAGGCATGACCTGTGCTGTGCTGTAAGCATAGTGTAACTTGAGAAATGTTTGCAGCTTCAGTTTAAAGCTTCAGCCATGGCAACCTGAGCCTGGACTAAGGCTGTTGTACACCTAGAGTTGCTCTGATACTGTAAAATAAGGGGAAACAATCAACTCATTACATTTCCCTCAAAACAGTGGAAATAGTCTGTAAAAGGCTTTAACTTATGTATGAATGAACACATACAGGCCTATCAGCAAAGAATTTGGTAATGAGCATTTCATAGGTCATGAAGTTACGCTACAAATATAAAGTGTGTTTCTGGAAATATTTTGTTGTGTGTGGGTGTGTATGTCCCTAGTTTTAGATTCTACAAGTTTAACAAAGTGTGTTATTGGGTGAGGCATATTTCGTGAAATGATGCAATTGTCTGCTTTATTACATAAATCATAAATTATTTAGCATGTTAACCTGCCTGTTCTGCGTGGTCTAAAATGATGACATTTTAGATTATATAGTTACACCTTGGATAAACATGTTGAAATTCTTTGATTACATGTAATTTTCAAGCTTTTCTTCACATTCAAATAAAAAAAATCTAACATAGAACACCACACACTTTTTAGCTATACAGTTTAATGGATTTTACTTCAAATTTGTGCTTTTTAAAAATGAATTAAGTGTTTTTAATTAACTGAATTAAATATGTATGATATGGACATTATTTAAAAATTCTAGGAGTATTCAATATTTCTTTTGATTATATAATTGTTTATTACGTCTTTAATTCAGTATACAATTCTTTAAGTATTCAGAAAACTGTGTCTCTAGTTGGAGACTTTTATATTGAAGCTGTGAAGTAATGGAGTTCTTGTTTTCACTGGCTTCGTCATTGCAAGGCATGAGGAAATAAACCGCCCACCAACGAAACGTTTAAGGATGATCTGCACATGAAAAAAGGGTAAAACAGAATTCAGACTTATGCCTTTTTTTTAACCCACTGTGCATCCAGTGTGTATTTTGCTTAAACGAATGAATTCAATTAAATTAAATCAGGCTGAGTTTTAGTTGTGTTGCTGGCCGGGGTTGACTAATATCAGCCTTCCTACCTGTTTAGCTCGCTAACTTTACTCTGATATGAATTTTACAAATGGAGAGGTTCAGCCTCAAAAACAGCTTCTCACAGTAGTTAGTAGACTGGGTCAATTATTTTTTTGCGTATCTTGTTTTTACAGTGTTGCGGGTCAGAAATGGACTTTCTGACTCTTTTTTCCATCTACGTGGTGGTTGTGCTCACCTGCATTGCGCTAGTTTGTAGGTATTCAGGGCAGCGCCAGACTCCTTTTGGGCGGCTGTACGATACCTTCACTCAGGTAAGCACGGCAGTGTCCGCATGGTGGCGCTGTACTCCCACAAATACACAAAGCTTATACTACGTTGAAATATTTGTAGTGAGAGTTAAATAATGTTCTACAGACATTACTAAAACACTCTCATCAGTCAGAACAGCTTTTTTGCTGTCCGGGTCCTGTGCCTGTAAAAAAAAACCCACCTCCTCCTCCCCAGGCTTTACCCTGCGCTGTTTCACTGGGTAAAACGCGAAAACGATTCAAAAGAAAAACCAGTCCAACCGTTCAAAACTGAATCGATTTTCAGGCCTACACCTGAATCGAATCTAAAAGCAAAGTGGCTAGAACAGACACAGCTCTTGCAAATCGATGCACACAACACTTTTTTCTTGAAAACAAGACTAAACGTTCAAAAGAATAAAACGAATTATGTGAATTTCTGTCAGCTCTGTACAAAAAATAAAACTCATATAAAACAAACTTATATGCGAGCTTTGTTCTATATGTGCTGTCTCCAGGAAGTCTTTTTTATTCAATATAAAATCCACGTAAAATACGCGGATGGAAACCAATATAGCAATGTCTGAAACTACACGTAACAGAGTTTATCACTTTATGTTGCAAAAGAAAGAAGGTTTTGTGAAAAGCAGAATACTGTCCAAAACCACTGGTGAACCTACAAGTGTCTTCTATATTTTTGTTTTCATATATTTTTATATGAAATTTAGAAAAACTGGAGGCATTCCCCTTTAACATCTAAGTCCACTTACAAACTAAACAATGACCAATTTTAAAAATACATCACACATTTTAGCTGTATTACCAGGCTTCTGTAATCAGAGATCACTAAAAGCCTTGGCAGATAACTTACACTAACCCTGCAATAATATTTAGCTTGAGTTGCCATAACATGTTAATACACACCACTGCTAACTTGGTGCTAACATAACGTTGCAAATATCAATGCTAGCAAACCTTGCCTTGCCTTAACATTACCGTTATTGTATTGGCGGTAATCGAATGAACAGTAGCTACTTGCAGAACCTAACACTCTTGTAAGTTTTCACTGTATGTAGATCTCTGTAATTAACACTTTTATGAAACGACTGGAGTAGTCCATGCTTTATTTTTAGGTATGTACAGCTCAGCTCTCAGCGCAAGGAGCCACTCAGCGGACACATCACATACACAGCATTTTTAAGAAGCTGTAGACAAAGAGGTTTTTCGTAATACATCCGAATGTTATATTATGAGTTTATGTGAAAGCAGTGTTTTATAGTCTTCATACATTAACAAGACACGTTCAGGAAAAAATACAGTGCTCAGCTGGCCTATAAGTACATAGTGCCACTACAGTTTACTTTTAGGCCTGCTGATGGTTTATGTTCTGTGTAAGTCCACCCTTCAGTTCTTCACTCTCGCTGTGACAACGGACGTAGATCCATAGTAGTTATTGGATAATTTAGAGTGGCTGAATAATAGCTGTAAAATAAGCCTAAAACTTATATTGCTTAGGTTGTTTCTCCGTGGATTCCGCAATGCATTCAGAACATTTGCCACAGGACTGTGCATAGACTGTTCCACCAGAGGTAAGAATCTATTATTATCTGGTGATTAACCTTTATTATTATTTATTTATTGTGTCATGTATTATTCTAGATTTTCCTATACATTTGCGTAGATGCTTTTAAAATGCTGCTATTTGAAACATATTAAATACTGCAGCTGTACAGTAAATAACGTCTCTGCATGTGTATATTAGCCAATTTTGTGCTCTTTTGCCAACACTAAGTTTCATAACAGCTGTCTTTTGCAATATTCCTGGCTGCTAATGACATCGTAAAGTGACCAAATTCAATTTCATTTACCTGAATAAAATATGTCACATCTCTCTATGAGCTTATCATGCCCTGTCTGGTTTCTTGTGGTTGGTCTGTTTATTGTTTAAATCCATATTGTTATAGTGCTGTTCTGTTTTATTTCATGATATTAATTACATATGGTGCTTTCTCCTCTGCGACAGAAACAACTTCTTCATTTACTTGCACCTTATACTTGAGGCTGCTGTATATGCAGAATACTCCTATGAGGTTTTTGGGTTCTGTTTGGAGATGGACACCACTTTAGTCAACGTGTGTGTTCCATATGTTCTCCTTGCACTAAAGACTTACATCTTCTACCTCTGTTGTAGTAGAGATCCAGGTAAGCAAACAATGTCCTCCCTTTTGTTCTAGTAGAACCACTGCATCCCTACTAAATTTCTGTTTTCTTTCTCAGGTACATTGACAAAGAAAAATCATGCAGCTCAATTGAAGGTGTACCAGTATGATGAGAAATTGTTTCAAGCGGGAGCTGTG